TACTTTTTATATTACCTTGTATTTTTTTACAAAAAAATAAAAAATGTTGTATTATATTTTTTATCTTTATCTTGAAAAGCTTTTTATTTTTTATTTTTTAAGCTTTTTTTACAACAAGAAAATCTTTTTATTTTTTCTATTTTATTTCAAGTTTTTTATTCATTATCTTTAAAAGCTTTTTATTTTTTATCTTTATCTCTATTTTTTATCTTTATCTTAAAAAAATTGTTATATTATAAACGACGACGCGCAGGGTTCAAACTCAAGACGCCCGCCCGAAAATTCAAGGTTGTCAACCAACACCACCACATCGCTTGATGTGTTTCATTAGCAACTACAATTCAATACATATTAAATCATCTTACTTGAATGGCTTTTTGTGGGAATTATCCCACATCGAAGGATGAGAGACCCTTTGTTCTCTATAAAGTGCTATGTACTAGTCATTCAGTCGCGTGTAGAAAAGCGAGGGGGGCATACGAGCGAGGTGAATTGCCATGCGTGGAGGGTTTGTAGGTGCCACGTGTCGCTCTCGTGAGGCAGCCAAGTGTGAATCCAAAAATTTTCGGTGAGACTCGTGATTTTACTATTGGGAATCGCCCGGTTCTCTCTGAAAACGGACGATTCCCGATTTTTTCGTGGAACCGGCTCGGTAGCCGACGATTCCCTAGTCGAACCGGGCGATTCCGGCTCGACTCGGCGAGTTTTCAAACACTGCGCCAAACAGACATACAAACATATCAACATAAATAATTATCAAGCATGTTGGATGGAGGTATCCTGTTTACTAATACACTAAAACTTAAATATATTTGCTTAAAAATTAGTGGGAAGATGTACCTAAACTGATGTTTTCCTTAGAAAGGTTAAACCTAAACATGCTAAGATTTCTTTTGTCTTGTTAGTTTAAGGCGAGTACCTCACATCGATATTTTTCTGTTATGAATTACATACACTTCTTAATTTGCTCCCTGCTTTTATGGACCATTTGGATCCTACTCGCAAAACCTGGTTCTGTGTATCCAGGATTTGGACGGTGAAATGTTGTTTGCTCATATGTGGCTGCCCATAACCAGCTTTTACTTATCGTAAAAAGACTCATATCTATACTTATTACACAAAATAGTTGAATTTGGCCCATGACAAATGTGCCAATCCACGACGGGCTATGTGCCCGTTAACCCCTCTTTTTCAACTGCTTTCTCCTCTTTATTATTTTTGGTTCATCTCTCCCTCTCTCTCTCTCTCTACCCACTCCATTTCTCCAATACCTGGTTCTTACCCTCTCTGTTTTGCCTCTTTCTTTCACCGAAGTAGAGCTCCTTCCCTCTCATTTCGTCCACCATATTTTTTACCAGCTCTGCCAAATTTGGCTGCAATTTCCTTCTGGTTCAGGCAATTGCCCAGAATGGGCTCTCTACTAAACCTGAAGATCCCCTCACAAAGCTGAGAAGGACCCAACAATGGAGGAGGGGGCCTGCCTTCCTGAAACTTGAGTACAACCACGGAACCCATGAATTTCCAGCCAATTTCTGGCAAAACTCATGAGAAAACCTCATTTTTCAGGCGATGAATGGCTGAACATCAAGAACCTAGAGAGGAAAAGAAACCGGGAATGGGTGGCAGGAAAATAGCAAAATAGTTCTTTATGGTGAAATAGAGGAAAAGAAGAATAGTGAACACACATATATATATATATATATATATATATATATATATATAGAGAGAGAGAGAGAGAGAGAGAGAAGAAGTAAGTAGTTAGGTAGGTAGGTAGGTACGTAACGGTAACGTTAACGTAAACGTAAAGTTTAGTTTTAAGGTTTAAGTTAAGTTATAACGA